TACAGGATATGCCAAGCCGCGAGTAGGGCTTTTGCTGCTGTGGCGAACCTCTCCTAACGAAGCCCTCACCATGCAGGCAGACACCCGTAACGCCGCGATGAACCAGCAATTCGGACTGCCCGTTATAACAGCCCGCCATCAGCCTCCCGCACCGCACGCTGCTATGCGGGCCGGCCCGCCTCGCACCCACAGCACCCCCTCCTCATCCTCATCCTCATCCTGAATCTCCTCAGCCCGTGGCTCCCAGCCCCTCCAACTCCCAGCTATGCCCTCCCTGAGCCGCAGCTCCGGCCCCCCCCGCTCGGCCCGTTCTCCCCCCTCGCTGCCGGCAGCCGCTCTCCGCTCTCCCGCTCTTCCCCTCACCTGGAGGTGATGGCGGCGGAGCAGCGAACCCTCTCGCTAAGGTCGCACAAGGCCTGGTAGTGGAGATCGCGGCCCTTCTCCCGCTCCAGGTGACAGGCGTAGAGGGACAGCAGGATGCCGGCCGCGCACACGGCGGATCGGGCCACCCGCTCCCAGCGCGGCACCGACACTCGCAGCAGGACGGGCGCCGCCATCTTACCCCCTCCCTCCGCCTCAGCCCGCGACGCGCGCCCGGCGCCCACCGGCAGCGCACGCGCGCCCTCACCCCATTGGCTCTCCGAGAGGCCACGCCCCCTTCTGGCCGCGCCGGACGTGGCGCTCCGCGACGACGTCACGTAAGGTCGGGTGGGAGAAAGGAGGCGTGGAGTGGGCGCCGCCGGAGGGCCGCGCCGGCGGCGGGGCGCGGCGCCCCCTGTCGGTCGGAGGGGAGCACTGCGGGCCCGGCACCGTTCGCCGCTTTGGGCCGCAGGAGCCCGTTTCCTTCCTCGCAAAGCTCACAGCGTTCACCGTGGGACGCATGCTTTGATCCGCTCGTTCTCCTTCCTTTCCCGTTTCTTTAGGCCTCTCGTTAGCTGATGGAAGAGTGAATCCGTGCAAAAGCAACCTCTGCAAGTTTTCCCAAGGAAAGCAGGATGAGACAACACAATGGCAGCATTCATGCCCCAAGTTCTGCCATCCGTGACAGCATTGTTCTGGCAAACAAAGTGAATTCCAAAAGAAACCCGTTGCAAAGGGACGAACCCTTCTGCCAACAGAAACAGAAGGAAATTGAAAACTATTAATCAAAAAGGAGTTGAGAAAATGTTAATAAAAAAGGGTTGTTTGAACCCCGACATCCCACATCAGATACACTGCTATCACAGCCAACTTACATCCCTTGTATATAGGATGTTGAAGCAACCAGTTTGATGGGACTACTGCCCTTGCACAGCTGAAGATAATGCAGACAAGGCCCTTTTTATGTTGTGCCATCAACTGTATAACCACAGAATCATAGAGCCACTGAATTACTTGAGCTGGAAGGGACCTTTAAAGGTCTGCTCCAACTGCGCTGCAGTGAATGGGGGCAATAAGCACGGCGTGGCAGTGGCATGCTGTGCTGTGTTTGTGTTTGTTGTAAGAATGAGAGGCAGTTAGAATGGGAAAATAAAGTGGTTTAAGTGCCTCTTCCTGTTTAGGTTATCAGTTTATTAACTCATTAGGTATAATCTCATGCAGACTGGTCACTTGGGCTCATTTCCATTATTGTCTGTAGGTTAGGTACTAAAAATATTAAAAACCCAGACAAGTTCCGTGTTGCATTAATTAATTAATTCATTAATTGATGCTGTGGGTGCAGCAGCTTTGCACCACGACAGCGAGCTGTGGGACTGTGCTTTAATTGTACTCCTATGGAATGACTTTTGTCTTTCTTACAACTCCTATTAAATGGTTCACACGTTTCTGAAGCTCTGCTAAGGTTAAGAGCTGGCAGCAGGTTTCCAAAACAAGCTGCGTTTTGTCTAAAGCATTCCCTCCTTCGCATCCAGTAGGATCAGCGCCTCAGGCGGGAAGGATGGGGGCGTGACCACAGCAAGCCCCGCCCCTCGCTGCGGCGGAAGTGGCACACGGTGCACGGCGGAAGTGACGCAGCGCGCGGCGGGTGTCTGTTGACCTTCAGCGGCGCGGCTCGGCGTGGTTACATTTTGTCCCGGTTCCTCTCCCGCTTGCCGCCATGCCCAGAGGGGGACGCAGCCGCTCGTCCCGCGTTGCGCCGCCCGCCAGGTGAGCGCTGTTGGGCCTTCTACCTTCTGGCCCTTTTCTCGGGTCCCCGCCCCAGGGCCGTGTAGGCCGCAGAGGCCTCGCAGCCGTGTCGGGGTGGGTGACGCAGAGGGGTCGTGCGCTGCTCGGGGCTCTGGAGCGGGGTGGGCGCTTTGCTGGGTGGAGGGGATCGGTTCCCTGTAGCATTAAGGCCGTGTTTGAGCAGCCCCTTCCGGGTCGGGCCTCGTTGCCCATAACGTGCTACTGGGATGGGGATGTGCTGGCCTTTAAAAAAAAAAAAAAAAAAGCTGCAAAGCTCCTGCAGTGTGTAAAACAAAACTGCCTGGAACGCCGTGTCCTTGCCATCTGTGCGTGGGGTCACGCGAAGAGGAATTGCCAGTGTTTGCTCTCTGAGGCCTCAGCCCTTCAGAGCAGGAATGTGAGCTCTGTCTGTGTGTCCTCACAGCCGGGCGCCGCAGATGAGAGCAGCACCGCCAGCCCCTGCACCAGCACCCGCCTCTGCCGTGGCTGCTCCTGCCCCAAAACAGCCCGGGCTGATGGCGCAGATGGCCACGACGGCAGCAGGAGTCGCTGTGGGCTCTGCTGTGGGGCACACCATCGGTCACGCACTTACCGGAGGCTTTGGCGGAGGAAGCAGCACTGAGGCTGCCAGGCCTGACATTACTTACCAGGTAAGGGAAGGCACGGCTGGGTGCTGACCGCTGAGGTGGGGTTAACTGGAGAGAATAGATGTGTATAGGCTGAAGTAATTGCTACAGCCTTAAAAACTGCACAAGTTCTGGCTAGGAATTCTAGAGCAACTTTCTTGACTCGGTCTCCAAATTAAAGTAGTTCAAAGGGTCACACGTTGCAGTGCACACAGCTGTGTTGTCTTCAGTACCCTTGATTTCACAGGGGACTTCCGTGTTCCAGGTCTGATAATGATAAGATCTATTGCAAGATTTTTGTCCTGCAGTCACCTCTTGTGCTGCTGAGACATCAGTATGGTGCTGTTGCCTTGCTCAGGTATTATCCAGAGTTACTTAAGTGTGTGCAACCTGCACAACTGCTCAGAACACCTCATGTCATCACTGGAGACTTTGTACTTTCCATTTAAGAAGTAATGTGCTATGACAAAAATGCAGGGAAGAAGTGTACAGAAAGAAGCGCAGGGGTGGCACGGCTTCATGGGTGGAGCAGGTGTGGGGGTGCTTACAGAGGTGTCTGCTGTTTCAGGAACCCCAGGCCGCTCAGCCTGCTTACCAGCAGCAGCAGCAGCAGTTTGCTCCTTGCCAGTATGAAATGAAGCAGTTCCTGGAGTGTGCCCAGAACCAGACTGACCTCAAGCTGTGCGAGGGCTTCAGTGAAGTGCTGAAGCAGTGCAGGTTTGCTAATGGTAAGCAGACAGCAGTACCAGCCAAGTGTGCTGATGTGGGAGGACAAGGAACTGCCAAACACGGGGGTCTGGATTGCTGAATCTTCAGCACCTGTCAGCAAATGCTGGGGGGAGAGGGGGAACATCTTAGCCTGTGTCTGCCTTATAGCAGGGATGATGGAATGGTTTGAGATGGAAGGGACCCCCAGAGGCCATCTGGTCCCACTGCTGCAGTGCACAGGGACACCCACAGCTCCATCAGTGCTCACGGCCCTCCAGCCTGAGCTGGGGGTGTGCAGGGATGGCACCATCCCCCTCTGGGTCTAAAACTTCACGTGATTAACTGTTGTAACTTCTTATCTTACAGGTTTAGCTTAAGCCTCCAGACCAAGGCTGCTGAAGACCACTTTATGAGAACTGACCTATGAATGAAAAAGCTTTGCTAATAGTCTAAAGCTGTCTGATATCTTGTTAGTTTTGTGTAGTCACACTGTTGTCTTTGTGGCTTCATTTCTGCCATAGCCTCTACAGCTGTGATACAACTGCAAACTAATTGAGCACAAAGTGGAAAAAATGATCAATAAAGTGGAATGAGTTGATTGGGGCTAACTATTTTGTTTCTTTAACTGTTGTGTTGAATGTGAGTGATGTGGTGTACAAATAAACTCTGAAGGTACCTTGCTCTGGTGGGTTTTGGACTGCTGGGTGATTTGAGGATTGAAGGTGAGCAGGCATGAAGTGATTTTAGCAGGCTGAGCGCGCTTGTCAGGTCTGCTGGCATGAAAAACGCCTGCAGGGCTGGAAGTGCAGCACACCAGGAACAGCCTTGGCTTGGGGCTTGGACTGACATTTCCTGGAGTATCTGAACCCCAGGGGCAACTTCTGCTATTACAGTGTGGTGAGGAGGGAGGTTAGGGCTGATTTTGCAATGCTCTGCGAGCAGCAGCTCAGCCTGCAACCAATCACAGTTCTGACTACAGCTTCTGTGTTCAGTTTCAAGAGGCTGAGAAATGCCATCCCTCTACTTGAAAACGCGGCGGAGCATCGCACGAGTAACTGCCATGACGAGCAGCCGCGCGCTTCCAAGACAAAAGGCCTGAAACGCTCTTATGTGGGACTCGTAGCCCGCAGTAACACGAGTCATTTAAAAAATATCCCCAAAATACCTTCTTGCTGCTTGCTGAGCTGCTGTCACGCGTCCCACCTGTTCCTCAGAGCCTCACCTCTCTGAGCCGCGTTTCCTGGAAGCGAACGGATAAAATTAGCGCTCTGGGCCGCGCGGCGTGGAGGGACGGGGGCAGAAACACCAAGTCCGGGTGGTTCGGGCGAAGCAGCGCAAAGAGCGCAGAGCGCAGAGCGCAGAGCGCAGCCCGACCGCCGCGCTCGTCAGCAAAGCGGCGAAAAGGACTCACCGCCCCTGCGGGCACCGCCGGCCTCGCCCCGCCCCGGGCAGCCGCTCCCCGCTCCCGCAGCCCCGCCGTTATTTTCGGCGCCGCTCCTCCCCCTCCTCCGCTCCTCCTCCCGTCCCGCTCCGCTTCCGGCCCCGGGCGGGCGGATGGCGCACGGCTGAGGCGGCGGCGCTGCGGGAGCCGAGGTGAGGCGAGGCGAGGCCGGGCCGTGGGGGGGCGGCAGGGCGGTGCGGAGCGGCGCGCGCTGACACCCGGCTCGCGTTCCCCATAGAAGCGTTTTCTCTGCGCGGCTCGTGTAGGATTTGAGCCCCAAATCGGGTCAGCGCTTCTCCCACGTCTCCCAGCAGCTGCGTTTGATGGTATAAATGTGCGAACGACGGGCGTTAATCGATATGCTTGCTAACCCGACGCAAAGCAGGCTGTGTGGGATCGCCCCCGGCCCGCACCCATCCCTGCGATCCAATTCGGGCTGCCAACAACGACGAGAGTTGGGGCTGTGGCAGCGAGCAGCAGCTTAAAAGGGAAGAAAACAAAGCGCTGCTTGGGGGAGGTTCGGAGCCCGGCTGGGCGCTGCTGGCACCCAGGAGTGCTGCCCTGCCCGACCCCGCACCTCAGCCCCATCTGACCCTGCAGTGCTGGCAGCAGCTCCAGCTCTCCTCTCCCTTCCCTTTTCATGCCATTTTCTCCTACTGTTACTCAGCCAAAAGCCATCTGGGACAAATTCACATAATAAAGAGGGGAGAAAGAAGTGTTAGAACTGGAAATAACGGGGGTGGGAGGAAGAGAGGTGGATCTCAAAGCTCAGCAGGGTCCCCGGATGGTGGTATAGGCTGATGTTTTGGGACCAGCAGAGCTATTCTTCCCCCAGACCTGTTCCACCTGCCAGGACCCAACCATGACAAAGGAGGAGGACCTCCCAGACTGGAACACGTCCAAGGACTTCTATGAAAAATATGAGCCGAAGGAGGTTCTGGGCCGGTAAAGCTTGGTTCTGACAAACTGTTTTGCTCGATCACAGCAGGAATCTGATATGGTCAGAGCCCACAGCACCACAGGGTTAAAAATAGCATGTAGAAGCTCTTTCCATCTGCTCAAAGTTTGTCCCCCTAAGCCAGGAAAACACCACAGCCCCACTGTATGTCTGTGCTGGGTGGGGGGGGAACCCGTAGACTCAGGGAATGGTTTGGGGTGGAAGGGATCTTAAAGATCATCCCGTTCCAACCCTCTGCCCAGCCACAATTCCCCAGCTCAGGGCCCCTCCCAGGAGCTCACACCACGTCCCTATTAGTTTATAGAATAATCTGTGTTGGAAGGGACCCATAAGGATCATCGGGTGCATCTCCCAGTTGTGGGAAAGCGATTCCATCCTGATCCTCCACAGCACATCATGCAAACGGGGATGGGAAAATACCTCATCGTTCCTGTGCTGTTCCTGGCAGGGGGGTGAGCAGCGTCGTCCGCCGGTGCATCCACAAAGCCACCAGGCAGGAGTATGCCGTGAAGATCATCGACATCACAGCAGGGAACATCTCCCCCCAGGAGGTGCAGGAGCTGCGTGAGGCCACAGCCAAGGAGATCGACATCCTGCGGAAGGTCTCGGGACACCCCAACGTCAGTGAGTCAGGGCAGGAGGGTTTCTGCCACGTTTACTCTTTGAGCCCAGGAAGGGCTTTGGGGTGATATCCCTGGATGTCAGAGCTCTGTGAGACCCACGGTCCTGGCACGATGCAGGGCACCTGCTCAGAGCATCCCCTGCTCTGCCTCTGCCCAGGCTGCCTGGCCATGATCAAAACGCTAACGAAGATCAGCTCGTTAATTCAGCTAGCAGTTAGATCAGCAATTTTCAGTCCGTTAGTAGAAAGGAGCTCTCTGTGCATGGGGTGTGTGGTAAGGAGCACACTGCACAGAGCTCACAGCTCCATTTCATTGCAGTCCAGCTGAAGGACAGCTATGAGTCCAGCACCTTCTTCTTCCTGGTGTTCGATCTGTAAGTACCAGCTCCCCAAGCCCTATTGTCCCCATTTCTCCACATTTCCACCCTACAGACAGCCAGAACTCTCCCCAGCTTTTTTGCTATGACCCCAATGGGCAAAACAGGGACATGACTGGGTCTTGCTTCAGGTAGGAAGGAGTCTGCTCACTCAGCCTCAGCTCTGCCCCCCTCAATCAGCAGCAGCTCAGGTTTCCCCATAACCTTTGGTGGGAGCTTGGAGTTATTTATATGCCCAGCAGGACCAGGGCTGGCACAACGCCGCAACTCGTGGCACCTTGATGGACCCACTGGGCCCTGCCTGCTCTGTGTACAGCCTTTCTTCTTCCTGCAAGATATCAAGGCATTTTTAACCCTTTCTTATTAATGGGTCAGCTTCTCATTTTGTGCAGTTAGCACCATAGGGCTGATAAGGGACAGTAACCCCTAGGCAGTCCATGTCTTGAGGCTGATTTTCCCTCCTGCATGCAGGATGAAAAGAGGGGAGCTCTTTGATTACCTCACTGAGAAGGTCACCTTAAGCGAGAAGGAAACCAGGTAAGGCTGAAATTGTGCTGCAAAACCAGAGCACGAGTTCCAAGTACAGCCGTGCAGCCAGCACAGGAACGTGCAGGAACAAAATGCCACCCGGGCTGTGCCCCTGTGCTTGGGTGCTGGGGCTTTTGCATGGGGGCTGAGCTGTGTGGCCCCTATCCCTGTCCTTGTCCCCATCCCTGGGAGCGCAGTGCCAGCGGGCACTGGGAGTAATGCTGTCTCCCCTCCCAGGAAGATCATGCACGCGCTGCTGGAAGTGATTCAGTACCTGCATTCCATTGACATCGTGCACCGCGACCTGAAGCCGGAGAACATCCTCCTGGATGATGACATGAACATTAAGCTGACAGACTTTGGCTTCTCCTGCCAGCTGCGTGAGAACGAGAAGCTCAAAGGTGGGTGCGCAGCGCTGACACGATGCCCATGGTGAGCTGGTGCTGGTGCAGCCCTCTCCAGCCTCGCTCCTTCCCATGAAAACACTGCAGACAAAGTTTTATCCACTTTGTCCTCCAGTTGACCCTCATTACTCTATTCATCAAGTTTTTCCTCCTCCTGCCCTGCAAAGAGCAACGTAATCAACAACAGGCATCTCCTTCCAGCAGCATCCTCCCTGCTCTCCTCACTCACGTTATAATTCGTTATAACTCACCAACTTAAGTCAGCAGCCAGATGCACACAAGGTGCAGTCACTGCCTGCCACGACCATCACTGCAAGGATCTGAACACATCTTGTTGCCTCTCTAGGACAAGCTGCTTCAGTGTGACACAGTCATCCCTAAGGGGATGCTCTGCCCCTGTTTTGCAGAAATCTGTGGTACACCTGGCTACCTGGCCCCCGAAATCCTGCACTGCTCCATGGATGATGAACACGAGGGCTATGGGAAAGAAGTGGACATGTGAGTGAGGTGCCCTCAGTCCTTGGGGTGCTTGTAAAATGAGATGATTTGAGGCACAGCAGGAATTGCTCCTCATTGGGACCAGCCTTAGGGTTTGCAAGGAATTGAATAATGCATTTAAAAAGAAAAAAATGTTCCAGGGGGCTGCAGGGGGCTGTCCTGGTAAGCAGCAGACCCTGGATGCACCCATGTCCCCATGGAGCTGCTGGAGCCTGAGCCCCAATGTTCCAGGCTGGCCCCTGCACCCCATTGCCTCCAGTGTGGGGTATGGATCCTTTGGGTGCTGCTGGAGCTGGTGTGTCCTCCTGGGTCCCTGCAGGTGGAGCACCGGGGTGATCATGTACACACTGCTGGCTGGCTCACCTCCCTTCTGGCACCGCAAGCAGATGCTGATGCTGCGGATGATCATGAACGGGGACTACCAGTTTGGCTCCCCAGAGTGGGATGATCGCTCTGACACCGTCAAGGACCTGGTGGGTGCTGAGGAAAGGGGAAATACAGTGGGGAGCAGGTGGCTGGGACGCCATGGGATCAATCCACTGCTGTCCTGCAGATCTCCAGATTCCTGGTGGTGGACCCACAGCGGCGGTACACGGCGAGGGAGGCATTGGCACATCCCTTCTTCCAGCAGTATGACGTGGAGGAGGTCCGACACTTCAGCCCCTTCCGGAAATTCAAGGTGAGGTTGGTGCTGGGAACAGGGACACCTTGGCACCCTGAACCCAGGAGGAGAACGTGGGATGGGTGTTCTGGATGGGGAGGAAGAAATGGTGTTCATCAGCAGGGTTGATGGAGCTAGGCTTCGGCAGGATGCAGCACCATGGTGGGGACACCTCTTCCAGCACTACTTTGTGATATTTGTATACAGTTCATGGTAGATGGGACACTTAGGAGCATAGTTTACTGATCTACAAGTAAATACCATAACTTTTATGAACATACAGCCTGAAAGGAGAGCATAGTGTGTGTGTGAGAGGGGCAGCCTCTTCTCCCAACCAACAAGCAATAGAACAAGAGAAAACAGCCTCAAGTTGCACCAGGGAAAGTTTAGGTTGGATGTTAGGAAAGACTTCTTCAGAGAGAAAAGATTGTGAAGCATGGGAACAGACTGCCCAGGGGAGCGGCCGAGCCCCCATCCCTGGAGGCGGTGAAGCGACACGCAGCCTGGGGACAGGGCTGAGCGGTGAGACAGGGTCCCAACTTCCCCCTTTCCCCACAGGTGATCTGTCTGACCGTGCTGGCGTCCGTCCGCATTTACTACCAGTACCGCATGGTGAAGGCGGTGACGCGGGAGCTGGTGGTGCGGGACCCGTACGCGCTGAAGCCCATCCGCAAGCTGATCGACGCCTGCGCCTTCCGCACCTACCGGCACTGGGTGAAGAAGGGCGAGGCGCAGAACAGGGCCGCGCTCTTCGAGAACACCTGCAAGGCTGTTCTGCTCGCCCTGGCGGCCGAGGAAGAGCTGTTTTGATGGCAGCGTCGCTGCTGCTTGAGTTGGGTTTTGCTCAGAGTTAAGGCAAGTAAAATATTTCCAATCCAAACGGTGATTTTTGGTGCTTTTTCTTAAAACCTGCTGGGCTCGAGCTAGGTGCAGATGGCTGTTGTGCATGCTGGGTAGATCCCAGTTTGGGTTTTCTCCTAACTTGCTCTAAGGGACTGCTTTGGAGTAGTTGCCACCAGTAGAGCAGCAGATCACAGAATGGCTTGGGTGGGAAGGGATCTCAAGGATCATGAATCTTCAATCTGCTGCCACAGGCAGGGCCACCAACCTCCCCATTTAATACTAAACCAGGCTGTCCAGGGCCCCATCCAACCTGGCCTTGAACACCTCCAGGGACGGGGCATCCACAGCCTCTCTGCTGGACTTAGGAGACGAGCAGTGCCTGGCAGGCTGTCCTCAACCCACTGTGCCCAGGGCTCCTGTGCCATCAGATTTGGGGTTGGACTCACACAAACAGCCCTCTGATTGCTGCAGACACACCAGAAGGAGACATGTAATGTCTGCAGCACCCGTGGGCCATTAGAGACAAAATGCCTGTAATTGCTGCTCAGCACCCAGACATGCAGAAATGAGTTTTAGGCTAAAACTATTAATTTTTTTTTAAAAACTTCACTGGTTTAATGAAAATGGTTTCTGGGGATTACTGTCCATCTCCACAGGAGAAACTACCCTCAGGTCATGCCAGGTGCCCTCCTCAGAGCTCAGGTTTGGTTCTGCTGCTCTTAGTGGTGTGACTCGGGACGTCGGCAGCACAGCGGAAGCTGAGGTTGTCGGAGGCTGAGTCTGGTGTGTTCCCCATCCTGGGAAAGATACCCAGTTAGGAGGGTGAATGCAACCCTGTGTAACATGCTCCCACTTACCTAAGTTTTAGAAAGGCATTCAATTATAAGCACTTGATGGAAAACAAATTATTTGAGAAGGAATTAGGAATGAATTTACAGCATTAGAATTTTTAGCAATATCTGTAGTGTTTTCCTAAATGCTTCTCAACAAATCTAGATAGGAACAGACAAAGTAACCCCTTCTTACACAGCTGAAGAAGAAAGCACAAGCAGTACTGGCACTGACCTGGTAGTGATGCAGGCCCGGTGGTTTGCAGACCCATCCACAGTGTCGATCCATGAGGCCCCTCTCAGCACACGCATCGCCTCAGCGTGTGGCTGGGGACGGCCTGGTGGTTTGTACTGTGAGGCCGTCCACTCCCAGGTGTTCCCCAGCAGGTCATAGATTCCTGAGACAGAAGGTTCCCACAGAATCATTACTGTTGATCTCCAAGATCATGAAGTCCAACTCCACCCCATCGTGCCCACTGGCCACATCCCGCTGTGCCACATCTACACATATTAGGATTATGGGGTTGCAAAAACACTTCTGTGCATGGGGAGATGGGGCTTTCACATCCCTGAAAGATCCCAGCAGAACAAGAAGCTCCTTGCTGTACTGCTAACCAGCCCCTAGCAGCAGCTAGACAACTGCTGAATAACTGTCTTATCTTAAATGCCCCCACCATTTTCCACCCCCAGGAGGGAATGGCACTTGCTGCCCTCCAACACGCCTGGGATTTTCAAATAAATCCCATGGAAATGCAGAATAACTGCCTGCTAATGGGCGTGGGATGGCACAGTGAAGTGCTCCAGCTGTACATCAGCTGCAGTAACAACACTTTCACTGGGCTCACTCACACTGTCAAGATGCTGATGAGATCCCATTTCACATTTGAAACTCTGCTACAACTACAGGGTTTATAATTAGCGTTGAATGGTGAGTAGATTGTACCCAAAGAGCTGGGCAGTGATGCCTCTCCATACCATAATTGTTCTGAGGTGAGAATGCTGCTACCGGGGACACACCGTGATAGCCATCCTCAGCCCTGTCCCCCCTTGGGAAGTCACCCTGGGTGAGGAAAGATGACATTAAGCAAAGACCAACTGCAGAGAAGAAAAGTCCTGCTTCTTACAAAAAAAAGTATATAAAGCCCAACTGCACTTAAACAATGGAAATAACTCTTCACTGCAGATTAACTTGGCACATTGCATTTGTGTCCAAGAGAGGTGATCAACCATCTCACGTTATCCTAGGGGAAAAATAATCATCTCTGCAAGAAAAACGTGCCGTTTTTTGGGAGAAGTGAAATCCCAGTCTCCCAGGGGCACTGGGCTCCATCTGCTCCCTTAGGAACACTGTGGACAACCCCCAGGAGCTCTGCAGTACCTCACAACCAAGTGCTATGTGCCCAAGTCCCCAGCTGACCACTGCCCAGTGCGACCAGGACAGCTGGTGTGAGCTCACCTGCCACAGGTTGGTCCGGTTTGGCTGGAATTTGTTCCCCCAGGGATACAGCCTTTCTGTTGAAGAAGAAGTGAGCAGTTATCCAAGGATCCTCTCTCATTTGTTGTGGCTGCTGTTTTCTGCTCAGCTTATATATCAGCTCCTGTACACCCACCAGATGGCATTTAGTGCTTTGCTGAGGGAAGCACATTAAGCTACTGTTTATCCCATTTATTTCCAGGTTGAAATGGCTCCTTCCAACTCAGGATATGCTATGATAGAAAGCCACTGGATGTGAGCAGGGAGGGGGTGCCTACTTACGCTCCAGGCCTCCCCGGGCAGCAAACTCCCACTCCTCCTCAGCTGGGAGCCTTTTTCCCTTCCAACTGCAGAACGCCTGTGCGTCGTTCCAGCTCACGTGCAGCACTGGGTGCTCCAATCTGTCTGCGATGCCAGAGCCAGGACCTGCAGGCTGTAAATTGCAGTGATCTTCATCAGTTTCATTAATCACCAAGAGAAAGGATTGAACAGAGCAAGGTGGGGAGCCTGCACAGAGGAAACAGATGCTATTTTCCGCTTGGTTTTAAGAAAGAACTCACCACTGTGCCTGCTTCACACCCACCTGTCGCCAAAAAGCTTTCTCAACTGGCAGCCACCAAGGAGCAGACTGGGAAAAAAAGCAACATCGGATTAAAGCCATACTGCCCCCCTCCCCAGAGACCCTTCAGTCATCCTACAACAGTGCATGGAAAGAGGAGGATGCGTTAGGTTGGGAGCTGTTTGATCCGGGTTATTGTGAATCACAGAATGATTAAGGTTAGAAAAGACCTGTTAGATCCCCAAGCCCACCCCACCATGCCCATTAAACACATCCCTCAGTGCCACCTCTGCACAGTTCTGGAACATCTCCAGGGATGGGGACTGCACACTCCCTGGGCAATCACCACCTCCCCCATCGCTGAGCAGCCCCCACGATGCCACCTGAAACCTCTTGATCTCCCTCCAGGCTTCAGATTTACCTCCAGTTTTTGGGTGACTTTTTTTTTCAGCTCTTCTGATACGAAATCCTCAAAGACAAAGCTCCAGCCAAACGCTTCCGCTTCAGTTTTGTATTTCTTTTCTCTAACAAACTCCCTGGCACAAACACAACACGCTCAGACACCCGTGGCAGAGTTTTCCAAGAGCTGCACCAGCAGCCCCGCGATAGCAGCTCACCTGAAGTCTCTGTTGGTAACAGGGAACTTGTCAATAGCAAAGGGCTTCACTGTCACCTCCCGGATGGGCCTCTCCTCATCTCTGCTCTGCGTGGAGCTGGAGCCCATCTGGAACTTCCCCCCGGGCAGCTGCACCATGTGCTCATCGTTTCCAAACGCTGAAAGTGAAGCAGTCGGTACAAACATTAACGGGTAAACCTAAAAGCACAACGCAGCATTCCTAATTTGCCAAAAAAAAAAAAAAAAAAAAAAAGAAAAAGAAAAAAAAAAAAAAAGCTACTTCATATGCCGGATACACACTGCAATGTAACAAGCGACTGCAATTTGCATTTATATAGTTCTGCTCCTGCAGGGGGATGCAGGAAGCCAGACAGCGGTGCGAGCTGAAGCAGCAGCGCTCTCAGCTCACCCAGCAGAGCACAGCTGCAGCCCAGTACGCAGCAGCAAAGCAGCGCCGCTCTGTGCATCGCCCTGGGAACAAAGCCGAGCAGCACCGGCAGCGCCAAGAGCAAAACGCATCAGCAGCGGAACCGCAGGGCTCTGACCCAGAAGAGCTTCAGGGTGGGGAAATGTTTCCGGGGGAAGGGATGCACTTCCCCCACACCACGCCTACTGCATGTGCTTTCCAATTAGGGCACACGTACTTTTTCGTTTTAAGGAAAAGGAATGCTTTACATTACACGTAAATGTTGATATTTCACCTCCACGTATGAAAAGCCTCCTGTTACCCGGGCTACTGACAAACCCACACCACCAGATGCGCTTTATGTGCACATCTGGTTTTAAAAAGGTCACTCGTTCCAGTCATGCCGCCCTGACATAAAGCTGGTACAGAGTATCGACAGGAGGCAAACGAACCGCCTTCAGCCCCACCGTAGGGCTGCACGGGATCTAAATACCTTCCCTGGGGTCGTTCCCTTTCTCAGCCCCACTTCAGGGCAGCAGCTCCAGCCGCTCCCACCCTGCAGCCAGAACAACCACAGCGCCGGGACACCCAGCCCTACCAATAATGTTGCTCCAGAGCAGCAAGTTGCTGCAGGGATTTCAGCACTTGAGTTCATCCTGTATTCATCCCCTCACAACCCAACATCTCCTTTCCTCATACTGGCTCAGTATAAGCAGGATAAACATTCTGAGCCCCAGTCTGATAATGCCAACAAGATGAGGATTAGACAAAAATCACGTAGGACAGCAGCAGCCTGCTTGTGCTGCACAACTCCCTGCTTGCTAGGCTTTGAACACAGCACTCTGCCTGCATCTCCTGCAGTGTCCACAGCCTCTGCTTGCCAACAGCAGAAAGCATTAAGCTGCCACCTATGGCCAGGAGGACAACATGCAACACGTTTCAAACCTTCCTGAGGCGCACAAACTAAAAAGCTTTATTTGTGAGCAAGAAAAAAACAAATTATTGCCATAGCCCACCTGTATGAGATGCTCTGCACCAATTCCACACAGACCCCTGCACTCCAGAAGCAGCGTCCTGAGCAGGACTTTCACGACTCTACCCTGTACCCCAAGAACTGGAATCAGCCACAAAGCCCAACTGCAGAGCCAGCAACCAGAAAACACAAATCCAAGCCCACGGCCCAGCGCTGTCCTCAAAGTGCTGAACAAAGCTCACAACTTTGGTCCACAGAACGGTAAGTTTTCAATAACGGACACAGAAAGCACAGAACATAACAGTTTATTGGGTAAAAAGGACAGCAACTTCAGTTTTACACTTCAGAGAAATTAAAAATAAATAACTGATGTTTTAGAACCGAGTATTTCCATAGTTGCTAATATCTTCAGTGGCCGCGTTTACCAAAGAGGTGCTGCTAGTTACAGCAGTGACTTCCACTGCTGGGAAAATCCACCGTGGCTCAAAAAAGCACTTTCAGGTGGACTTCTTGAAGGCATTCCAGAGGGCACTACTGGAGCTGACCACCACCACCACCAGATCCAATTCAGCCTTTCAGAGATGACATTCCAGCTCGCATAATTTCATCCACCAAGAGAATGTTGCTAGCAATCACCGTGCTGGGAATAGTAAATAAACAGAACGTTTGTTTTGGCACAAACAACTCAGCTTTATTCCTACACTGCAAGACAGCTTCCTCTAATAGAGATTCCTTCATTCCACCCATGTTACCAATCTTGTTAACCCGTTCCTATTTGAAGTGAAACCACCACAGCACTTACCACGAATGAAGTAGCTGCTTTTTGACATTGTAGTTGTCCCAGATTCCAGCTGCTGCAGCTACCATTGGCTCACCTAGGAAAGAGGCACAACAATCTTTAAACAACCAGTCTGCATAATTCAAGGGAGGAATCCTGCTGCTTAACAATTCAAATTACTTGCTGCGTACATGGTGCACACACTGCATTTAAGCATTACAAGCAAAGCACACCTGCCAAGGCATTCTGTATTGCCTCCTTCCATGAAGAGCTGAGCCTTCTGCAGTAAGAGCAATCTTACACTTCACAGAGCTGGTCTGTGATAGTTTTGGCCTCCTAGAAACACTCCTATCCCTCAGCAGCATTGTTTTGCTGCTCTGTATTTACTGCCAAGCTGATTTTACGAGATTCCCTGGTTTTAGAAAACTCTTACCAGTGTTCAAGTCAACTCCAATGAGCTGCCCAGATTCTACGTGTTCTGCCTGAACCTTCACCAGTGTTTCCTGGGGATCGTAACCAGAGTTCTGAGCGAGAACCTTGGAGACAAAAACATTACTTCACATTAATGTAAAGAGGCCTCCTGCAGAAAATGCTAAGGATCCCAGAGTGCTTTAGAGTCCCTTTATTCTGGAGGTCTTCATACCTTAGGAATGATGAGGAGAGCATCAGCAAAAGCTTGAACTCCAAGCTGGGCTCTTCCTTTTATACTGGGTTTATGCTTAATAAGAGCATTAGCTACTGCCACTTCCAGTGCACCTGCCCCTGGAATCACACATCCTACAAGGCAAAGCAGTAACATGGAGGCGTCACAATAAGAACTTATACTCCAATCTGAAGAGCTAACTTATACACAAGTCATCAGTTTTGAGGAGAGCTGTAGCTGAGACTTACCATCCTCAATTGCATTTTTAACAGCACGCAGACCATCTCTTACTGCATCCTTTATTTGTGTAAGTGTGTGCTTATTGGGTCCCCTGATCAACAAGGTGACAGAGCGGGGGTTGTCACACTTCTCAATGAAGGTGTACTTCTCTTCTCCCTATGAACAGGGTTAGTTATTCACCTTACATATGTTAAGCAAACATGAATAAAAAAACACTGGGCACTTTCAGATTCAGTTCTGAGTAACATCCCAAGAAGTGATGAGAAGCAAAGTTTAGTACAAAGAACCTAGCAGAATCTTCCACTCATGTTCTTAACTTCGTGATATTAAAATATGGATCTATCAGTAGGAATAAGCAATGCGACGAGAGAAAATATAAGGCAGACAGTGGGGCTTAAAATCCCATCTTCATACTGCTTATTTCTGCATTTACTGCATTTCTTCATACTGCTTATTCTAGGAGCTGTACTGCAAGGAAACACCATGCAGTCACATCAATACAGAAGAAAACCTGGGGCCAAGTGATACCAGAAGCATTTAACTTGGCTTCAACTAAAAGCCTCGCTGTACTCACCAGTGTGTACTCATAGACAAGACCTGCATGTCCCAGACAGTCAGGAGTGAGATCCTCCACAGAGTTCATAGCAGTACCACCACACGCAAGGGTCAGTCTGAAAGAGTTTGTTTACTGCTTAGCAATTCTCTCATATCAAGTAAAACATGAAGTCACCAACACGAACCGCAGTATTTCAGCACACAAAATACTACAGGTCTGGGCTTGCAACAGTTTTGTTTCTTTTAATAAGAAAGCTCTTCACTAAAACAAACAAAACAAACCTACAGAATTAAGCCTCTCCAGAAGAGGCATTTACTCCTGGAGCACAGACAGCTTCAATTCCTACATCCTTCCTTGTACTGAACTTCCCAGTTCGTATCAAATACACTGAGTTACTCTAGTAATACTCAGACTGAAGATGACTTTTTGCTGTCAGCCTTTAAAAGCTGACTCAAGCCAGATGTGACTCACTGCACAGTCTGGGAGAGCAAGGCATTTACCCCTTCTCTCCCTAAAGGGTACCTTTCCATGTTCCTCCTTTTGGCTCTGCGCAGAGCAACAATTCCTTCTTTTGCAAGCGCGTCCAAGGAAAATGGGTCAATTCCCTGGAAACAAAGGAAGGGACCATCAAGATCAGAAAACAAAGAAACAAATCCCCCCTCAGGTTGGCACTAATAAGTTCTTCCTCAGCACTCAAAGAAATCTCAGGAAGGAACTGCACGTAACTGTGAGTTCATCAACCTCAATTCAGTTATCTGCATGCAAAGCACTGCACTAAACGAGTCAAGCACCAAACTTGCCAAGAAAGCCAACATTTCTGCTTATTTTCCCCAACTTAGTTATACTCTTTATCTCACCTTCTGGTTAATGACAATAAATCCTTTATCTGAGTCACCACAAACTCTTCTTTTCAAGTCTATGATTTTGCTCACTCTGTCTTCAATGAACTTCCTTTCTGCTTTCACCAGTTTCTCTCTCTCTTCTGCGCTTTTGTAGAAGAACCCAGCGCTCACCTCTCTGAGAGGAAAAAAAAAAAAGCAGTAAGAAAATTAGCTGTCCTCTGTGTCACAGAGCTAAGCAGCTCAAGGAAGAAGGAATCCTTTCAGTAACATTCTAAAAATTAATATGCAGATTTTATTTCAGTTACTAATTTCCTCTGCTTCCATCTTCTGGAAAAGGGAAGCTCCACCTTTTCCATCCCCACTTCTACACTATCTGCCATGCTCCAGAAGAGCATCTCTGTGGCCCTACTGGTACTTGTTCAAGCACAACTTAAAGGAA